TATCCAGTTATATATGTTTTGTTTTTTTTTTGTACCGGGGATCGAACTCGGGTCCTCGCGCTTGCGAAGCAGGCCACCAAACTGCTGAGCTAAATCCCTGGCCCTGTATTTTTAAACATAGATATATATCCACTTGTCTGTTGATGGGACCTAGGCTGATTCCATATCTTAGCTATTATGAATAATGCCATGGTAAACGTCATGCAGGTATCTCATTTGTATGCTGATTTAACTTTCTTTGTATATACAGGAATGGCACAGCTAGATCACATGGTAGTTACACTTTTAGTTTTCTGAGAAACCTCTATACTGTTTAGCACAGTGGCTGTATTAATTTCCCACCAGCAGTGTATTCTTTTTCTCCACATTCTTGCCAGCATTTACAAAAATTGGGTTTCATTCTGGCAGATCTGTACATGCACATAACTTTGATAATTTTCACCCTTCATCACTCCCTTACCTCACCCTCCCACTAGATTTGCAATTTTGGGGGTTAGAATGATTTTGGAAGTGTTCCTTCCACTTCTATTTTTATGGAAATCTAGTTTGAAGAGCATTAGTGTTCATTTCTCTTTAAAAGTTTGGTAAAATTCACCCATGAATCCATCTGGGTCTGGGCTTTTCTTTGTTGGAAAACTTTTTATTACTATCTTCTGTGCTCTACTTTGGTAGGTCATACATGTTTGAAATTTGTCCATTTCTTTTAGGTGTTCCAATTTATTGGCATATAGCTTTAAAAATATTTCCTAATGATCATTTGACTTTCAGTGATATCTTTTGTAAGGTCTCATTTTTCACCTCTAATTTTATTTATTTGGGCCTTTTCTTTTCTTTTTTTTTTTTTTTTGTGGTACTGGGTAGTGAACTCAGGACCTTCAGAAGGAGCTACATCTCCAGTGCTTTTTTAAATTTTGAGACAGGATCTTGTAAATTCACCAAGTAGCCAAAGCTGGGCTCAAATTTACAATCTCTCTGTCTCACCCTTCCTGAATTCTGGGATTACTGGTGTGCACCACCATGCTTGTCTCTCTTATGGTTAGCTTAGCTAAAAATTTGTCAACTTTATCTTTCAAAGAACAAACTCTTTGTTTTATTGATCTTTTGTATTGTTCTGTCATTTTCTACTACTGCTTGGATCTTTATTTCTTTCCTTCTACTTCTACTTTATTTCCTCCTACTTTATTTCTACTTTTGTCTTTTTCTTTCTTTTATTTTTATTTTTTGGTACTGGGGATTGAACTTGGGTCCTTGCGCTTGTGAGCAGATAGCATCATTTCTACTTTATTTCTTTTCCTTCTTCTGATTTTGGGATTGATTTGTTCTTCTTTTTGTAAGATCTTGCGATATATCATAGGTTATTTATTTGAGATTTCTCTGGCTTTTTAAAAAAACATGTAAGCACTTGTTACTATAAAATTCCCTTTTAGGGTTGGGGATTCAGCTCAGTGGTGCCACTGCCTGCCTCTCAAGAGGAAAGACCTGAGTTTGATCCCTGGTACAAAATAAATAAATAAATAAATAAAAATTCTCTCTTTGTACTACTTTTGCTGTATCCCACTGGTTCTGTTTGTTTTGTTTTGATTTTTTGTTTGATTCTAAGAATTTAAAGATTTCCCTGCAATTTCTTCACACTATTCATTCAACAGTGTGCTATACATTATCCATATGTTTATATAATTGCTGTACTTTCTCTTGCTAAAGGGACTGAACAGGCCATGGGCAAAAAAGAAAATGAGGGAGAGTTAAGGAATGGTATATTTTAAATATACCAGATGTGGTACTGTATTTTTCTGCCAAAGAAAATGAATATTTAATAACACTAGTGAATTTTTTATCCAAAGAGATTAGTACATTGGCAAAGTACTTGGATAACAGTGGAGAGCAGATACTGAAAACAAACCAGCCCTGTACATCCTAAGGTAAGAATGGTCTTCACTGATCACTTCCTTTGCCAGAGGCCCAGGAAAAACTTGTAGCACAATCACCTGCTGGACTTGCAGCATGATCACTTACCTGCTGTACTTCCTGTGATGAATCACAAACTTGATAACCAGGGAAGAGTCCCTAGTGACAAGAGGAGAAGAGAAGAGGACTTGAAAAGACGGTACAAGGGGGTACATTTCCACCGAAATCTCAGGGATGTGGACCAATCTCCAGAAAACCTGGACACACTTCATTTCCCCAAAACGTAATACACAGAGTTGAAAAATCATCAAGGAAATGCTTAATGAAAATTGTGCTCCTCACCTCAAACATCTCAGGGCTGAAATGTGCTCTATTCAACCAAGCAATTGTGTTACTTTCATTTAGCAAGGAGGCAATTAATCAATGATACACATGGCTTTACAGAGAAACTTCTTAAACTTTTCTTCTGGACCAAAGAAGGCTAGGCCTGTGAGGTTTCAAGCAGCCCTGAAGGCTTGTGACAGCAGGTTCCCTCTTGAGTCTAAGGTGGCAGTCCATCCTCAGAATGCTGGATGCAGACACCCACATACTTTGGGGACAGGGCACCAATGTGACCTTTCAATTCTATGTAACTCAGGTTGAACCTGGCCTCCAACCACATGAACTGGGTCCATGTTCATCAGCTCCAGCCCCTCAGCAGGCCTCCCTCTAGCCTGCTCTGTAATCACCAGCTGTCTCCCATGGCTGTCCTTCCCTCATCCACTCTGGGAACTTGACAGTGTGGAGCATGCTGGAGCCAAGGGGTTTGAGTGCTGAGTACATCCCTGCAATTGCATCCCTGCCAGCTCTTTTCTGTGGAAGGCCACTCTGGGAGCAGTATCCCACATTTTCCTTGCAAGTTCCAACTGCAGCTGATTCTTTCAGTCCCCATGAGGTTCTTTTTGCCTTGTGGAGTGTTTTACAGTTGTCTCCAAATAGTGATATTTGGGTTGGAGTTTCAAAGCAGAATTCAGACTGAATTTACAATTCAGAATTCAGTCACCTCTTTGTGTTTGGTTAATCCTTCTCATGCTTACTTCCTTTTGTGATAGATACTTCTCTCTGTTTCTTGCTGATGTTCTCTGAGTCTCTCCAACATAACTCAGCCATGTCAGATCTTCCAGATTATTCCCTCTCAGTGGATCTTTCCTCAGTTTCTATGATGATTCCTCCTGTAGTCAGACATGTTGAATCTCCTGTCCCAGACTTTTGCCTTGTCCAAGATCAGGTCCATTGACAGCATTTCTGCTGTCTCATGTACAGGGCAAACAACACAGAACCACTCCAAGTTGGTGGTGGCTGAGCAAAGTGTGGAATCCACAGTTGTGGAGCTGGTCAGGGACCAGCCTGCAGGTCTGAGTGTTCCACAGGGGACATGAGTCCAAGCCTTCCTAGAACTTTTTTCTTTACTCTCCTTTTAGATCATTAGTATATAGAGTTGCAACTGATTTTTATATACTGACGTTGTATCCTACTACTTCATTGAATTCATTATTAGTTCTGGTAGGTTTTTTTTTTGGATGTGTATGTATGGAATGAGTAGCTTCTATGTATAAGTTTATAAAATGTATAAACACATAAATTTACTTATTCCTTTTTTACTTTGTTTACATTTTATTTATTTTTCTTGCCTAATTCACTGACTAGAACTTCTAATACTATGCTGAATAAAAGTGATGAAAGCAGGCATCCATGTCTGATTCCTCATATAATGGGAAAAGTTTTCAGTCTTTTAACATTGAGTATAATGTGCACTGTGGTGTTTTCCTATATAGCTTTTATTTTGTTGAGTTAGTTTCCTTCTAATTATAGTTCACGGAGTGCTTTTGCCATGAGAGACTCTTGCATTTTGTAAAATGTTTTTTATGCATCAATTGAGATGAACATGTAGTTTTCCCTCTTCATTCAGTTAAAATAGATTCCACTGACTCATTTTTGGTGTATGTTGATCTGTTCTTGCATTCCAGGAATGATTCCCATTAAGTCAGAGTATGTGCAACATCTTTTCTGTGCTATATTATTTATTGTAATCATTGAGATCTTCCAAAGCTGTCTTTGCTTTCAACAATCAAGTCACTATAGCATGTATTTGTACTCTTCAAAATGTTAGGAGAGTCACTATAGCATGTATTTGTACTCTTCAAAATGTTAGGAGCAGGGTCAGGGATGTAGCTCAGCAGTACAGCAGCTGCCTGGCAAGGTGAGGCCCTGAGTTTGATCACTGATATTAAAAAAAAAAAGTTAGGAGGGAAAAAAACTTTTAAGAGCTTTTGAATATCTTTGGTTAAGGCTCTTTGAGCTTCCTTTCAAAATTAAAATAATAAATCTAACAACTACAGTCAGTACTTTCTGTCTCCACTCAATCTTGCAATTCTGGAATGTACACAAAGGATTCCTTTGCAAATTAAATATTCATTTTCCACTTACTGACACATTCTTTTCAGAATTTATTCTCCTACTGAAGGATTTTCATAGAAAATTATTTTATAATATTATACTAAATGTAACAATACATGCTAATCTAGAGCCTTAAAAACTTCCTTTAGGAATGTGAAAGATAAGAAAAACAGACAAAGATTACATCAAAGCAAAATCTCTGGTGAGGGAGACCATTTTAACCTCACAAACAGAGAAAAGGGCACAATCATTAACCATCCAACAGAAAGGTAAGCTCTCCCTGTCCCCAAAGAGATGAGATCAGATAATACAGCCCTAAGAATTCTGCTTTTAACAAGAAAAAAATGTAGGAAACCACAAATACTAAAAAAATCCAAGGGAAATGCCTCAGGAACTGAGATTTTATTAAGTGCTTGTTATATACCAGGCACTATGCTGTGCCTTTACATATGTTCTTTCATTTCATCTTCTCAACAATCTCATGAAGGAAGCTTTGCTCTGCTGAGCTAGAGAAAACAGACACATAGAAGAATTTACTCCAGATTGCTCAGCTAGAGGCAGTGGGGCCGGGATTTGAAATCAAATGGGACTCTGGCCCCCAAATCTCTCAAATGGAGATAGGAATGTTTCCTCAAGCATTTGTTCGGTGATCCTGATTCTTCTTTCCCTACCTTAACCATCATGCTGAAGAGATACACAGTAAGAAAAAACTTGAGGAAGAAGAAAATAGGTCAGAAGCACATGAGTTAAAAGCATAGTAGTTTTGTTTAGTTATTATAAGTAGGCAGTTAGAGCAGGCTGTGATAAGGTTGGATGGAAGAGTTAAGCTGCTAGTGAAGCAACCAGCCAGTTAAGCTTAGAAATGTAAAAGAAAATAAAATAGCCCACCCAGATTAAGAACTACTTCAAGGAGCTAAACCAAATTTAGAGATGCAATAGTAATCACAAGAGCAAAGGATAAAATCCTTGGGGTGTGAATAGAGAAAGGACTCTTCCCTCCAGGAAGGAGACTCTTATCCAGAATGTGTTCAGTTAGATTTTAACAGCCTTTCCCTACCTTGAGATCTGGGAAGAAGAGATATATCAGATAAATTTTAAATTTTTTGAAGTTTTAAATCTTTTGAATTCCAGCCCCTTCCCATACTGGTGGTAGCTACAAGATCAGGATCTGATTAGAATTTCTGCTCAGAATACCCTCACAATAGACTTATTTTATGAGCTTTCTCTTATTATTTGCAATAAAACTCTCAATTTCCTTCTTTGGTTTGTAACTTCATTTTTCACCATTTGTAGAACCTCAACCTCAGTTCGCATAGTAACAACTTCGGTTGGAAAGTTATCTGGAAGAATTTTCTTGTGGAGTGGAGGTAAGAGAAGCACTTTTTGTGAGGCCAAGATGTTCATCGGAGCTTTGGAAAATCATTATCTCCATTAATTTTCTCACCTTTCAGGTTTATTTGAACCCTTGTTGGGACAAGCAGTACCATTGTTCAGCAAGGCACCGTGGTGGTAATCTTTCTACCTTTGCTGCCCATAAGTCAAGTATGAATTATCCCCCTACCCTATCAAAATGTGGCTTCTGTATTTATAAATCTGGTTCCTGGGTATAGCTATCACTACTTGCTGCCTACAAGCATCGTTCCTCTCTCTTACCTTGTGTGCAGATCTCAAGTTTTGATCATTATCCATCTGTTTGTTACCCATTTAAACAGTTAATTTAGTCAAAGCTAATTTGCTGAAATTCCATTTCTTCTGATCAGTGATTCCCTCCATTTAATCATGTTCCCCAGAATATTGAGAGAATGGCTGCTATTAGTTTTTTAAAAAAATAAAAATCTGCTTTGATAGGAAAAGAAATACCTGGAAACAAATATCTGGAATGGTTCTTATCATATCTCATGAGACTGTCATGTTGTAGCCAGAGTGCAATGTGTGCACGGCTCCTCATTTGGAACACCCAGCTACTGGGATTGTAAACTCTTGGCACAGTAATGAATTAAAGAACCATAATTTAAAATAAAGGAAGACAGTTTATTTGGAAAAGGGCAGAAAAAGAGAAGATAGCTACTTTGGAAGAGTATGGGGCCCCTGAAAGAACACCTCCAAGCTCTTGTCCCTGGTTCCTTTTATTTAGGATTAGAGATTTTTCCCATCCCTTATGTGGCCACCTGGAAGTTGCCACCATCTGACTGGCTCTCTGGCTATCTTTGATCCTTACCCGGGCACCTCTGTATTCTTTCTGGCTGTTTGATACCTTCTACGGTAGATAGGTAAGTTAATTAGATATCCTGTAGGCAGTTAGACAGGGCTTCCCTGAAGTAACCAACAAAGGAAGGAGACAACCTGGAGGACAATGCTTTCACTGAAGGCTGGAATTGTAAAAGGAGAGAGAAACTACTATAACAACCTTGTGTTTCCCCTGGGGATGAATAGCAGTGATTGATATTCTAAACAGGTATCAATCACCTGGGTAGGGGGCCAAGGTCTTAGCCCAGCCTTTCCAGGAAATATCCCTGACCCCCACCCTTACTAAAAATCCTTGCTATGTGACTTGTTCCCCCATTTGACCCCCATTTAACCATATTTTCTGAGTGACTCTACTTGTAATCTTATTGGTTGGTCATGGTTTTGCCCCACCTCATAATTTTCCATTGGGTCTTACAGTTTTGTCCCAGTTTGTACCCACCTCTCCACATAGCTTTGCTGTATAAAACATCTGAAAAGTGGGGTGAGCTGGCAACCCACTTTCCAGGCCCCCTTTTCCCCTCTTAAATAGAAGCTTTCTTTCCCTTTCCCTTGATAAATTTTTCCTACTCTTAACCTCCATTGTTCTTAGAATTCATTCTTTGATTTTAGAGAAATCACAATTCAGATATCTAGCAGGTTTGAGAGTTACATCTCTTCCCCATTATCACTTCCTGTCCCTTTGTGATGGGTGTGAGTGTGTGTGTGTGTGTGTGTGTGTGTTTGCATGCACCTTATAGAAAGGTAGCTTAGAGTTAATGATTAAGTGAAAGGGATACGTATATCTGCTACAATAATATAGTGATGTTACAGTGAGAATATATATACATGTGTATATGTGTAGAAGTGTGTGCTACATATTAAATAAGAGTCCTTAGGTGGTTGCCCATTTTCTCCTTTACATTTTGTCAGGGGTGGATGAGGGAGCTGCTTTCCCTGGTCTTTTACATCTCTGGCTTCTTCTGTGCTTTGTTAACTCTTTCTAATAAATTCTTATGGCAATTGTGTTAACCTGGTGTCTCTTTCAGTCTAGTTTCTCTCTCCTTTGTCTTTCTAATTGCTCTAATTATAGAGTCTACCTGTAGAGGCAGAAGCTTCTTTCAGTAAGATTCTCTACTAATTTTTAGTAAAGTCTATTTTTTTCCTCTCTAGAAGCCACTTTTCCCTACAGGCAGAGTAGAAACATGGAAAGAATATGGAATAACACCAATATGCTGGTGAATTAGACAACCCTGAGGCAACTTTTCCTTTCCTTCTTTTCTTCTGGAGGAAATTACATGATAACTTCTTTTCTCTTTGTTTCTTTCTATTTTAGCACTGAAGAAGAACATTAGTTTTGGACAGGGAAATGATTTCTGACCAGAAGAAGCTTGTGCTGCAGCTAACCAGGTAGCAAACAAAAGGCTCCTCCTAACTTTGACCCCTCCTGCACCTAAAACACGTTTGGGTCTCACTTGGATTTGCCTGGACATGTTTTCCTCCATTGTCTTTTGTTCTCAGAGTTGCTGAGACCCTGCTTCCCACCATACATAAATAAGGTGAATCCTAGTGTACCTTTCTATCCAGTTGTATAAGCTACATGTATTTACCTCAACCAATGAACTTATGTTGAGTATCTTGCCACTGTATCTTCACCCTCCTTTTCCAAAATCTATATGAACCCTGTTCACCAGCCAGATGGGACTAATAGCTTTGTGGAGATGTCCCTGATCAGTCTGCTAGTGAAATAAACCTGCCTCCAACTTCCAGGGTGTGTGCTTGATTCTTCTCGGCCTGACTGTTATACCACCTAGAGCTACAACACTGAGTTATATTTGCTACAATAGTTTGGGTGAAGCCTAACTGGTGACAGAGACCAAAATACAGTATTTAAAAAGATATAATTTTTTTTCACATAATTGTCTGTGTTGCTATGACATTACCTGACCCTGTGGTTCAGAGCTTTGGAAATGGGCTTGTGAGAAGAGTTTGGGGCAATTTGGAAATGCTGGCTAGAGAAGCATCCTTAGAAAGCTGAAAGTCAAGCTTGATGGGAGATTGAGGTCAGAGTTCAGAAGGCCGGAGTGTTGACAGTAATGCAGCTGGAGAAGACCAGTCTCAGGAGGTTGTAGTTGGGAATAAGGGCCCCATTGGTAGTTGGATTCCAGGCTGTATGTAGTAGGCAGTGGCAGAAAATCTGTCCATGTCTTTGTGGGAGACTGAGATTAAGGGTGGTAGATTACAAGGAGGAAATTTCAAGGCAGCCAAACACTTAGGCTGTGGCTTAGGTACTACTTGGGGCTTTTAGCAATCTCTACATTGTGAATCAAGAGCAAATAGGACTGAGGATTTAGCTCAGTGGTTCTGCCACCTGCTTCACAAAGCACAAGGACCAGAGTTTGATCCCTGGAACAAACAAACAAGCAAAAACCAAAACAAACAAAACAAAATAACAAAAAGATAGAGCAAGAATACATGTGCTGCAAACTTAAACCCCCAAATCATGTTAATGTATTTGGAGGTGGGGCCTTTGTAGGTAATTAGGATTAGATGAGGTTGTGAGAGACAGACCTCTGTGACGCAATTAGTGGCTTTATAAGAAGAGCAACAGAAGGCTGGGGATTTAGTTAAATGGTTTTACCACCTGATTTGAAAATGCAAGGTCCTGAGTTTGATTCCTAGCACACACACACACACACACACACACACACACGGAGCAGAGACTAAGCTAGCATACTTGCTGTACCTTGCCATGTGCTTTTCTGCACTTCCATGGAACTCTGCAGAGTTTCTTCCATCAAGAAGGTCCTGATCAGATGCAGCCCATAGATCTTGGACTTTCCAGCATCCAGAACTATAATAAATAAAGAAATTTCTTTACTTTACACATTACTGTCTCTATTATTCAGTTATAGGAACACGAAATAGACTAAAGCAGAAAAGGAGAAGAAATCTAAGATTAGCAGCTTGGTTGTACACATCAAATTTATTTTGACATCTATTGGCCCAAACTTAGTCATACAGTCACATCTACTAACAAGAGGATCTAGGAAATAGAGACTTATGGCATAGGACTAGGGGTGTTCACGGCAATATTCCTGCCTCTGCTCCATCATGTACACTGTATAAGAGGTAAGGAAACTGTGTTAGTTATTTTGCTCTCATTGCTGAGACAAAATCCCTGACACCCAAAGTTAAAGGGGGAGAGGTATTTTTGGCTTACAATTCATAGAGGTTTCAGTCCATAACCAGCTGGCTCCAAGACAGAGTGGTAGAAGGCTAACAGTGTAAAAGTAACAAGAGAGCTTAAGAACATCTTTCTGCCCCTTTTATACTATTCAGACTGCTTAGGGAAGTTAGCACTCATGCCCTTAATCCCAGTGCCCTTGGGCCTAGCCCCACCATGAACCAATCTTACACCCTAGATTTAGCTACCTCCAAAATAGCCCTGCCTTTGGGTGGGGGATTTAGCTCAGTGGTGCTGCCACCTGCCTTGCAAGTGCAAAGACCTGAGTTCAATCCCCAGTACCCCCCAAAAAAAGGGACACAAAATAGCCCTACTTCATTTGTATAAGGCTTTGGGGGAGGGACATCTAAAGACAAGCCATAACTTTCCATGCCTGGACCCCCAAAGACTAATGAACATTCCTTCATGCAAAAGCATTTAGTCCATCTCTAGAAGTTGCCAAAGTCCTAACTGTTTCAGCATTGCTGGATATTCCAAGTCCAAAGTTTCCTCTAAGATTTAAGGTAAATTCTTAGCTGCAATCACCTTACAAATGAAAAAAAAAAAGAAAAAGTTAAACACTTCCAACATTCAATGACACAAGATAGACATTTCTATTCCAAAAGTTACAAGTAGGGGGATACAAAGGAATAGTATCAAAGCAAGTCCAAAATCCAGTAGGGCAAACATTAAATCCCACAGTTCCACTTTCAGCATCCCAGGCAATCTGTGGCAAATTGAGAACTCCAAAGGGCTTGGGTGGCTCTGTTCCTGCAACACTTCTGGTGGTTGCAGCTGCCATGGCTTCTCTCTTGGGCTGTGTCTGCTTCCTCCTTGTAGTTTTCCTCAGAAGATCCATAGTCCTGGCTTCTCCAGACTTCTGGGGTCTCTACTGTACCTTCTGCTTCATACTCACAGCTTCACACACTGCCCTCTCAGGGCCACTGCCACACTGAAGCATGGTGCTCTGGGCTCTCTTCAAAGCAAAGTCTTTTACTTTTGCAATTCGGAGGCTACAGAGGGTGGAATCCTGCTTCCTCTTGTGATGCCCTCAGGCCATCTTTTCTATTCTCCAGTTCCTTTTCAGCAATAAAGGTTTCTTCTGTTTCATCTTTGCAGGCCAAAACTTTACTGGAGCTTCATTTCTGGCCAAACTCAAAATATTTTAAATCATTCTGCTGGGATTCTTGCTCTTGATTCTCCACATATATCTTGCTAAAAACTCCCAACAGTAGCCATGCCACCACCTCAATATTTGACTGCTTTGAAATTTCTTCTGCAAGATTAATTAGTCCACTGCCCCTAATCTCAGTCTCAGGCAAAGTCTCTGGACATGAGAAAAATGCAGACAAACTTTCTGCTAGCCATAATGCATATCATCTGGAGTCCAACAGCCAGTGCAGTCCTTTTTCCAAGCAGAAACCTTCTGAGCAGAGTCTTTACTGTCTTTCTGGTTTTCTGAGCTCTGACCAGCCTCTCCCATACAGAGCAGCCTGAGGCGTTCCAACTCTACTTCCAACATCTCCAAATCTTTCCTAACTCTTCCCCTTCCCACAAATCATTTCCAAAGGCTCTTGAGCCACAAGGCCAGGTGATGTCACAGCAGTAACCCCACTTCTGGTACCAAATTTCTGTGTTTGTAACTTTTCTTTGCTGAGACAAAAATCCCTGACACCCAAAGATAAAGGGGAAGAGATTTATTTGGCTTACAGTTCATAGAGATTTCAGTCCATAATTGGCTTGCTCCAAGGCAGGGTGGCAGAAAGGCAACAGTCATGGTGGAGGAAGACAGCAAAAGCAAACAGAGCTTAAAAGCATATTTCTGTCCCATTTGTCCTATTCAGACTTCTTAAGGTAGGTGGCACTCATGTCCCTAATCCTAGTGCCTAATCCTTGGGCCTAGCCCCACCATGAATCACTCATGCACTTTAGATTCAGCTACCTCTAAAATAGCCCCACCTCATTTGCATGAGTCTTTGCGGGGGGCATCTAAAGACAAAGATTCACATCAAGGACCAATGAAGAGAAATGTACACCCTATGTAGTCTGAAATTTGGGCTATCTAGCTAGATAGCAATTTTGTCATCCTTGAGGACAGGGTGAATGTGTTCATATTTGAGAAGAAAATGAAACCAGTACTTGGTGGTCCAAGGAATGGACTGAAGCAGAGAGGAGCAGTATTTGTGCTTTCTCATCAACATTTTAAAGTTATTGCTGTCCTGCTGGGATCTGCATTTGTGCTTCTACTTTCATCCTCCCAACTAATTCCCCGCAGTACAATGTGTTCAGACACAGTGGGTATTATGTCTGAGGCAAGGAAATTAAGAAGCATGTGTGCTTTCTCTATGTCCTCTTCATTGTCTGCTGGATGGATACAGAAAAATCCTACAGGATAGCACACCACGAGATGAAAGGAACCTGAGTCCTGAAATCTAAAAGCAGGAGTCTGCTGGCCCACAAGAAACACCTGTATTGAGCTACTATGCTACTATATGAGTGAAAATAGATATGTTTTATTATGTTAAGTTAAAGAAATGTGGGGTTTTATTGGTTACAATAGCCAGCATAAACTTAACAAATGTTTAATTTTATTGATTTATTGACTTACTTTTTTTTGTTTTTGAGGCACAGTCTTGCTCTGTAGTCCAGGCTGGCCTTGAACTCTTGGATTCAAGTCATCCTCTTGCCTCAGCCCTCCAGGCAGCTGGGACTAAAGATGCATACCACCATATCCAGTTTATTCATTTACTTTTTATATTGTTTGTGTCCTCTCCATCATATAAGCTCCAAGAGATCAAAGTCTTTGTCTATTGCTATGTTTGCTATTGCAAAGGCAATTTCCAGCACACAGGAGGTGCTCAATAAATACTAATGAGTGAAGAATAAATGCATATTGAATTATTCCCTGCAGAGGGATAAGCTATATCAAGTGACATGTGCTCTCATTGGCTGAGACAGATATCACATGTCTGTGTATCAGAGCTAGAAGGCCTATTTTCTGAGAACATGAAGAATTGTTTTGTTAAAAAAAAAATCAGTGTTAACAATTGGGGGTAAAAGTTAACTTGTGGTCATGGTTCATTTGTTTATTCACCCATCTATCCATTCATTATACAAATATGTGTACCTACTATGTGGCAGGATCTTTGTTAGGTATGGCTACATAGAGTATACATAGGGTCAGTGTGCAGCTACAGTTAGAGATAATCTAAATTATATTTAGTTAAGTATGTAAAGCCCTCCACCTGGCAAATAATCATTACAAGTATCAAGTGAAAAAGAGAAGAAATCATGGGTGGTACAGTAAGCCTGTTCTGGCATAGGATATGCATCTCAGAACAGTGTGCAGAATGGAAAACTTTTGAGCAATACCAGATATCCAGCCCAGCAACTTGTAGATCAATGGATGAGAGTGGGGGAAAGAGGTAAGGAAAAAGTAAGTGTTCTTATTAGACATTTTAGGACACTGTACTGCTCCACTCAGGGTGTGTGCGTGAAGGGTGGGTATTCACCAATTGTAGTAATTGTAATTACTGTAATTGTCTCCAATTACAGTATGATGACAAAAACTTTGAAAATTGTAAGTTGAAAGAGAAATTTTGAGTTGTACTAATGGACAAAAGGTATAACAAGGAGTGTTTTGGCTTAGTATTATGAAACACTTATGACTGACAGCTGCCTGAGTGTGGAATGTCTTGTTCCCTGAACGAATGGGTTCCATTATCAGTCATGGCCATTTCCCAAGGTTCTTAACATTATTAGCACAGGAGAGACTCTCAAGAAGGTCTATGCATAGGCTCAAGGTCAAGCAATGCTATTAAGTAATAAATGCCATTCATATTTGGAGTATGTACAAGTTTCTGGGGGAAGATCCATGATTTTCTTCAGATCTATAAAAAGGTTTATGACAGAAAAGCTGAAGAATAAGTAAGAGATGACATTTGGTATAACTTGCAACTTGGTTGGACATATTACTCCTTATAAAAAAACTTAAGGATTAGTACATAAAAAAGCTGGGCATCATTTTTTGTTTGTGTGCCACCTCCAAAGTTGAAGGGTCAAGAAGAGTCACAGTATTTTTTTCAGGATTGTGTGGCTCCTTTAAGATGCTTGCTGGTTTTAAGATGTTGCTCCTTTAAGATGATTCCTGGCTTGGGACTGGATATTTGGTAATTTTCTTTTCTTATATTAATTTAACAGCAAAGTTATGACAATTAATTTGAAATTTTAAATAGCCTTGAAATAAACAGCAAAAGTCTTATGTCCATGACAAATGATCTTGATTTTCTGGAAAGACAGGAAATGAAAAGAAATCACTGGCCATTATCTGGATAAATAGAAATTTTTAAAAAGTGCTGGTCATGTCAATAATAGTCTACTTTACAAAGGTCCCAACAGAAGAACTTAAATAAAATAACAATGTATTTCTCCCTCACATAAAAGTCTTGAGTAAGTGAGTGATTCAGAGCTGGTAGGGTTGTTTTGTCTACAAGTTCATCCAGGTGTTTGGCTCCTTCGATCTCGTTGTCCTATCATCTTCAACATAACTTTTGGTTAATGATCTAAATTAGCAGCTCTAGCTCCTGCCACCACATCTGTCTCCAAGAAAGTAGGAGGAGGATAAAAGGTAAAGGGAGAATATATATCTTTCCTTCTGCAGATATTAGATGGAAATTACCCAAAGGAAAAAACAAAACAAAACAGAAATTCCCATTCAGGTACTACAAGAATGGTTAACACCAGAAAAAAATATAATACTTTTGTAATATGGCACATGGAGATGCTCTTATCCAAGACTCAAAACTCGGTAACTGTAGGAAAAGTGTGCATATATCTTTATGAAAATTACAATGTTCTATATGGCAATTATTATTCTTGCATTATACATCCTTTGATATATATGTTCTTGCTTTATACATATATAGATATACATCTATAGTCTTGCTTCATACATCCTTTGATATATAAAACATATTTGAATAAGAAAAAGACAATATCATGGAAAACAAAATAGTGTATAGGCAAATCACAAAGAACAAATCAAAGAAAAACACAAATGACCAATAAACACATTTTAAAAATTACACATAACTTAAATATCCTATATAATTATTAACAATTATAGGATATCCATTTTACAGAAAACTATAAATCCATCAAAGGGAATGAGATAGATTTTTTTTTTGAGATGGATTTTTTAGGAAGTGAAAAATCAAGGACAATATATTTACAAAAAAATACAATTTACATGTAGATGTAAAACGTATAGGAAAAAAATCTCAGAATACAAACCAAACCATCCATTTTTAGGAAAGGTAGTAGGATTGGTCAGGTTATGAGGTAGGGCCAGCTGAAGTGGGATTTTTAATTTTACTTGACATGTGTTTTGAAGTTCTGGAACTTTTAAAAATGGTAAGCCTATGTTTATTTATGTATTTTATGTGTAATTCTGGAAATAATTTTAAAAGAACATCAGGAAATATACTGAAGTCATCTAGAAAAGTGCTTAATTAATAGTACTCAGGAGCAAACAAAAAAATATGAAAAATCTCACCAAGCCAGACAGAAACAAATCTAGGTGTCACTCATGTTACCTGGGAATGTTTTTGATAATGTGCAGCTCTACAGATTAACCCCCACCACCAACCCACCTACCTCCAAACCTCCCATAATACTCTGATTCTTCTTCACTTGCTCAGACCATTAGCTGTAAATTGAACTTAAAAAACAAAATATAGTCATTGTACCCTGGATTTAACACCCAGTGAGTTTCATCAGGTGCAAATGCATTCCGTCCTTGGGTTTGAGGACAAGATGGTTTGAGAAGGCAAGAGGCCTGGTGAGGTCTGGAGCCACTCTGAAGTGGAGCAGAATCAAGGCAATGGCCACTTTCAACTCGAGCATGGCAAACTGCTGTCCAATGCAGTTCCTGCAGATGGGGAAGGGGAGAAAATGATGCTTGAAGGAATGATTTGTTTTTGATTCTCGAATACATTTCTAGAATAACAAGTCTGAAGTTCACAGTAAGCTACATTTTTTACTTAAATGTCATAGAAACCTCTTGGTTTTGGCCTTGGATGCAAGAATGAAGACTGGGAGGTTTCAATACGATGCCCTCCCGAAACAAGGCAGCCGCTGGAGTTACCCTGGGAACTTTCTCCTGCACCCAGAGTGGTCTGCGTTGAGCCCATGGACAATAACTTACACATGGGATTGCTTTCTGAGGCATGGCTATAGAGGATGTGATGAGGAACGGCACTCACTGTCCATTGCAAAGCTAACTGACTCTTTTGGGAGCTCAAGTAGACATCATGATCTACCTCATGAGAAGATGGATTTCCATGGAAGAACTTATAGAATGGAGGAGCTAAAGGGATTAAGCAATTCCTAACTAAACATTTTTGTGTATTTTCAATAATTTCAAATTGTTCTTACCTTGGTCCGGCTGAGAATGTTAAGAAGGCATAGGGGTGCCTTTGATCAGAATTCTCCTTAGTGAATCTCAAGGGGTCAAAGGCCTGAAAGGGGAAGACAACACATTTCTTAAGCTTACTATTTAGTACTGATCAACAGCCACATAATGTGAGCATGTGTGTAATTTCAAGTGTTCTTGTAGCCACAGTTTTAAAAAGATGAAATTACTTTTCATAATAGAATTTATTTAACATAAAAAACCTGTACTAACCTGCAGTAAATATAGTTATAAAGGAAAAATTTCACATTTTGGGAGTACAATATTTTCAAAATCCACATCTCAATTCTGGCTAGCCACATTTCAAGTGCTCAGTAGCCAATGGCTGCACCCACTTAGTAATGAAGCCTAAAGTACTGTGTGGTCAGTTGTAGTGGTGATGTATAGTCCAGCCTCCTGTTGTATGTAATACAGTCAAAACCCAAATGGTGTATATGAAAGAAAGCACTGGTATTTGAGTGTTTTGAGTTTCAAGAACACTAACTCAAGGAACTATACATCTTCTCTTTGCCTCTCCAGATCTTCTTTCCTTTCTTTCCCAGTCTATTTTGAGCTCCAGGAAGCTAATATGAATGGTTTCCCATTGGATTTGGACAATAAAAGGCATTGACTTGGAATCTGGAAAGTGAGAGATAAGAATCTGTCCCTGACTTCTCCCTACCAGATGCCTTAGGCTGGTTGTGTCTCTACTACAACTCCTATCTTATCGCCCTTTTCCCAGAAGGTCTCTTTCTCTAGGTCCTGTAACCCACCCACCTGGGTCTCATCAGGTCTAGAATAGAAAAACACTTCAGGCAGACCCGTGTTCTAGTTTCCTTTTCCTAGACTGCCCATATTTTCCTAAGTAGTTCCTTTTCAAAGCATTCAAATTTCCCTGACTGTGTCAATTTCTCCCTAGGATCCAACTGTTCTTTTTAGCAAAAGAGAGGCTGAGTTGCCTGAATGACTCTATCAATAGTCCACAGTCTTGCAGGTATTGAAGGAAATGCTTTGTAGAGCTTGAGAAATAATTTAGAGCCATGTGGCATCATGTCAATTCTATTCATTCAAAGATAAAGCAGGAATGAGAAAGAGGGCACATTCCTGTTAGAGAACAAGTTTTTGTTTTTTATGTTTATTTTTGTTTTCTTTCTTTTAACTGAAGCATCACCTCCATGCTTAGCTGCCAGAAGTGAATTGCACAACACTTAGAAGTACATCTGTGGAAGAGGGTCATACCTGTGGGCTATGCCAGACAGCAGGGTTATGGTGAAGACCCCAAATACTGAGAACCACATTCATTCCTGAGGCAGGAGGGAAATACAAAAAATGAAAAAAAAGGAGGGGGTGAGGGGTTGGAAGGAGGGGAGGAAAATTGGTGGGGGGAGAATCAAGGTATATCAGATATAGGTACAAATTCCCTATGATGAATGTTATCACATATATCTAAAATGTACCCATAAATTAATTAATTAAAAATGAATGTGTGTGTGTGAGAGAGAGAGAGAGAGAGAGAGAGAGAGAGAGAGAAAGAGAGAGAGAGAGAGAGAGAGAGAATAAGCTGTAGGCTACTGTTTGTATTACAAAACTTTTCCTCTGAAGGGAAAGAGATGACTTCTCACAGAGATTGATGTATGTTATTGCTGTTGCCACCAGGAAGGGGCACATGGGCAGATGAGGCTGGGGTCTGTACCTTCATTCTCAAAACAGTGAATTTGCTTCATTTATGATTCTATTCTAAGCACCTGTTGATATCATATCAAAGCGCTAAATTATGTTGACATTTTCTGCCACAAGCGGATGTTGCTTCGGTATCTGTTAAAGGCTATAAAGCCCTAGAGACAGTTTGGGTACATAAGAACAGAATTATAATTCCATCATTTCCAATCTAGGGGTTAATTTCTGTTGGTGCTCTTTATACATTGGAAGTGTCGAGTTTTGGCAATTATTTATGTGGTTTGGGGATTTAAAAAGACTAAAGAGAAAGAATTTGAGCATTGTTTTGTTGCCAGAAAGAATTCTGGTAAATTACTTCTGGACATGGCACCCAAGTTACAGTAACAGGTTGTAGGTGTTTGCCACAAGCAACCTTAAAGCCAACAAATGGAAGGGTGGCTTATGTGACTGCTGCCTTCTCTATGTCTTGCTTAGAAACCTATACGCTCTGGGTATGAAACCTCATCTACACATTGGGGTTCCCACAGTGAGTTTTTTGTTACATCGAAAGTATTAAAAATGTTCTGTAAATCATAAATCACTGCATAAGTGTCCATTAATATCACATTCCAAGGGAAAATATGAGATAATGTTTGAAGGCTCTGTGTAAACTATTCAGTGCTGCACAATAAGGGTGATAATATGATGATGAGGCTCTCCTAAGTCTTTCAGATTAAAATAATGATGCTCATCTCTTGTGAAGTCTTACTAGGTTTTCAAACAGCCTTACAAAGGTTAGAGTAGAAGTAATGTTCCACAATAGACCCTGGGCTGCATTCTCGAAATATGGATTCTGGCCTCAGGTTTGCTGTAACTGGCCATGTGCCTGGGGAACTTCACTGAAACTCATACCTGATGAAAGAATTATCCCCTAATTTCTTAATAGATGCCCAACCCTTTGGGCTATCTTTTGACTTCTGTAGGAGTGAAGAAACCCACCCATTGTTGTTACTGACCCCCAAGATCCCATGGTGTCTAGGAGCTGCTTATGAAAAGACAAAGACCTGCAGGCAATGAGCATCCATCTGGGAAGGCGAGAGGCTTGCTCAGCTCTCTGGAAATGAATGGCACTGGAGGAATCAGTCGGAATGTCTCCTTGATACACATTGTTGTGTAGGACATCTCATTCAGCTGGTCCCTGCGAGGATGAGGGAGGGAGGGAAGGGACTCAGACTCCATATTTAGTTTGCAAATACTGAGTTTTTTCTATTTGATATTTTCACCACCTCAGGGCAAAGCTATTTTGTCACGAGTTTATGTAACAGATTGTGAAAATGGGACTTTTTCTGCCTCAGGATCAGCTGGATCCCAGAGTTAGAGGAACTCAACAGGTGCCATATATCCTTACATGGCAAGTGTTCAGCTACTAGTAAAGAGTTTGCCCAGGAGAAACCAATTTGCAAGCTTTAGTTCACCATATAAAGTAAGGATGCATAAGAAATGATGAAGGAGTGCAAGGGAAGGTTAGAGAAGTTTGAAAGAGAAACTACACCCCTTTAAAGAGAACTGTAGGGATGGCAGAGTGCCATGGAGAATGGAGGAGGGTGCTTTACCTGTCTTAAATAAACAGAGGGGAGATTCATGAAAGTCACCTGGATGACCTGGCACATGTTCCCTCAAGTTTGGAGAGCACAAGACTGACAGGAAAGACTGTGACTCAGAACAGACAGAGAAGCAGGGGAGAGCAGCTATGACAAGGTAGGAATGTGCAAATGTGTCCAATGGATCAGTGAAATGATGAAAGGAAGAGACAGCTCCAGAACCAGCTAGCAGGGGACTCTGCCCAAAGATTAGAATTCCCTTGCCCTGTGAATGATCATTGGAAAGTTCCAGGGAGGGAGTCTCTAGAAAACCCATAAGTGTATCCACCAAGCCCTCTGGGCACACAATCACAATAGTTTCAGCACTTTTCTCTTTGTCCCTCCTGCCTGACAGTTCATTGCTGGAAGGGTCAGAAGAAGAAGCCTCTGGATAGGGGAAGAGTTGGTCAGTAAGAATAAGTCAAGAACAAATCCCTCACCCTCTACTGGCTTTCAGGCTCAAAGAAGAACCAAACTGGAATGGAGTGAGTTGCTCAAAGTGGGTGAGTATTTGAAACAATGGCCTAGGCAATTTACTTAGTGGCAGATGATTCCTGTGACCTAAACGGATGGGAGTGCTGTGACATCCACTTGGGATTTTTACCTCAACATGAGAAGAACTTGACCCACAGAGCAAGTTTGAAGAGTCAGAACCAGAGGAACAAAGGTGTTTTTTAATTTGCACCCTTGCTAGTCAGTTTGGTCCAATAAAATGTCTGCATATACTTAGTCTATTTATTTTATTGTACTTGCATTTGATTTCCTGATTACTTATTTTGAATGCAGGCACTGGTCATTTGGTAATGTGAAGTTTTACTTTTGAATACTTTCCTCCTCAAGCTTGGGATAAAAAAAATTACTTTTGCTCATCCTGGCACTTTGCATAATTAAGAAAACAAACTTTTCCCTAGCTCACTCATGGTGAATTAAAGCAGAAGAATTTAAACCAACATAGAAATGGGCTGACAAGGACCTAAATGGAGAAGTTGAACAATTTTCCAGCTTTCCCAGAAATTGCTCTTTGTGAAGTGGCTTTTATTACCTCTTGTCTAGAAGAATTATAAAATTTTAGAATGCCAGGTACAAATTACATTAATTTTTAGCTATAAGTACATGTTACAGAGTAAAAAATATTTTTCTTTATAATATTCTTGTCCTTTCTCTCAATAAAATAGATGATAGCAGATCATCTGGAATTTGCTCACCTAGCAGAGGCTTACTGTTTTTACAGTTAGGTCAAGTAAGAATGAGAAAAGTCAGTATTTGAATTGTGTAAGTATATATCCAAAGTTAAAATCTCTAATTCATGTTGAAAAGTGATATACAACATTTCTAAATTCAATGAATTAAAAAAAAGAGATTACTCAATTGGGAAAATAGGAGGCTGCTCACTTGCATTCCTCCACAGCAACAGTAAGTTCACAGCCACCCATGGACAAAAGTGCTTTTGTGAGAGGCACTAATGTGACAATTTATTACAAGGCTACAGTAATCAAAACTTTCTCAAAAACAGATATATAAAACAATGGGAAGAGAGAGACAGAGAGAGCTCAGAAATACACCCATAAAAGCATGGACAATTTTTCTTCTTGTTTTTGTTTTTTTGGCACTGGGGATAGAACTTGGGATCTTGCTCTTGTGAGGCAGGCAGTGGAACTATGGAGCCAAATCCCTGGCTAAGAACACACACGGGGAGAGGACATCCTCTTTAATAAGTAGTGTTGAGAAAACTTTATATGCAGAAGAATAAAACTGACCCTTATTTCACATCATATATGAAAAAAATCAACAAAAAAGAGATTAAAGATTTAAATGTAAGATCTACAAAAGTAATCCTAAAACAGACAAATAAACAAATGAGAGAAGTTTTTGTCATGGGTCTTGGCAAAGATGTTTTTGGATGCAATCTCTGAAGTACAGGTAACAAAGACAAAATAGACAAATAGACAAATCAACTAAAAATTTTATACAACAAAGGAAACAGTCAACAGTGAACAGAAACATACAAAATGGGAGAAAATATCAGCAAGTCACATATGTGATAAAGGATTAATATCCCCCAAAATCAATGAACTCACATAATTCAATAGTAACTAAACAATTAAACCAATTAAAAATGGGCAAAGGTCTTGAATAGACATTTTTCATAAGAAGACATAAAATGGCTAGCAGGCACAAGAAAAAATGCTCAATATCAGTAATTGTCAGAGAAACGAAAATTAAAACCACAGCTAGCTATCCCCTCTCATGTGTTAGAATAGTTATTAAAAAAGAAAGGGAAAGAATAAAGAAAGATACATGTTTTTGAAGATAGAACACTTGTACACTGCTGGTGGCAATGTAAATTAATGTATATGTGGGAAACAGGATGGAGTTTCTTAAAAAAGAAATCACAAATAGAATGATGGTCTGATCTAGTAATTTCACTTCTAGATATAGATCCAAAGGAAAAAGTTTAGTTGGTTAAAAAATTTGCATACTTATCATCATTGCAGCATCATGGTGCAGATATGCAGTTGATGTAAATGTCTATTATCAGATAAGTAGAAAAAAAATCTGTATGTGTACACCATAGAATACTATTTAGCCTTGAAAAGGGATCCTATAATTTGCAAAAATATTGACAAATCTGGAGGATATTATGCTAGTTGAAACAAACCATTTACAGAAAGACAAATTCCACATGCTTTCAATTACACATCTAAGAAAGTTGAATTCACAGGAGGAGGGAATGGTGCTTATTAAGGCAGCACAGGATTGGGGAGATGTTAGTTAAAGGTCACAATATTTCAGTTAGACAGGAGAATTAAAATTCAAGACATCTATTTTGCATTGTGCAATCATAGTTAATAACAATTTGTCTATTTGTAAATTGCTAAAATGATAGATTTTTTTAAATAGCAAAAAAGTTTTACTTGAAGAAAAGAACTACATGAATTGGGTAGATTCAGATGGTAGATTTTAAATGTCTTCACCAGAAAGAAACAAGTATATAAGTTAATGGATATGTTTGTGATTGATTTAATTATTCCACAAATTATACATATATCAATGCACACTATACACAAATATACATATATACACACATATAGATACACATACTTTTTTATTTGTTAAGAATGATCATTGAACACACTGTGTTCTGTGCTAGCTAGGTTAAGCCTTTAATTTATGGTAGAAGATGTTATTTTCTTATAAAATGAGATGTTTCAAGTTTTGTTTTACAAATGTTTCCCCAGTATATAGTGTGTTTCCCCAGTCACACAGTTCAGTGGTCCTTAGCATTTTTATCTTTCTGCTCCTTTGATCAGCTAGGGTGAACTTATGTAAGCGATATGCTTTTTCTTTGCAAACAGCATGTCTGAGGGCCAAATCTATAACCCAGACTTAATGACAGCAAGATATGCTTAATATAGAGTTGACATTTTCCACCTGGCTTATCCTGTAAGACGCAATTTAAGTGTTAGATCCCCTACAGAGTCCTCTTAAACCTCCACACCTTGTGCCAGGGCAGGTGCCTGTTTTCTAAGTCTCCCTGGTGGCCAGCACATATCTATATCATTGCACCTGCACATTATGTTTCAATTTGCTGTGCAGAGGTCTGGGTCCTGCTTTAGATATGAGTTCACTGAGGTTGGAACCTCATCAAATCTTAGTCATCTTTTAGTGTCTCAGTACTTAAAATGTCTTCAGTCCACATTTGTTAAACTCACCTGCAGTATGTACCATTTAATACCTCATCCAAAGAACAAAGTCCATCTGAGTAATGAAATTAGTGAGAAGGAGATGGGAGCGGGTATCTACCAGGAGCCTTAAATGATGTTGTTGCTTACCCAGCTTTCTCTGAAGAGAAGCTTGGCCTTGGCCCTACCATTCAAGCTCTACATGCACCTCTCAGGTCAAGCTCTCATTTCCAATCTGCCACAGCTCAGGCAAAGGAAAGAAGCGAGACATTTTACATACCACCAAGTAGCAAAGCAATGTCAGGCAATTTCTGAATCAGTGCACTTCTTTGCAAAATGCAAGGGGCTAATTTGGGGACCTTTTGAGGAAGAGCAGAAAAATTACTTGCCTTTTCTGCTTTCACACAGATACATCTTCAGGCACTGTGATCGCTAACATACCGGGACAAAAAAAACAAAGCAAAATCCCAGGACAACTAAGATGAAATGTTTAGGGGTGTAGATCTTACCAGCTGATGGAAGACCCATCCCCCAGCGTGCTCCTGATCTCCTCCCGGCATCGCTCCTGGTGCTCAGGGTTCAGTGCCAGGCAGTAAAGAAGCCAAGAGAGGCTTGCTGCAGAGGCATTGTGTCCTGCCAACATGAACGTGCTCACCTCAGACCGTAGGTCAGCCTCAGAAAAGCTGTCTTCATTTTCGTCCTAGAAAGTACAACGAAGATAAGTTAAAGTGCCACTTTGAAAACCCAGTGAAAATAATGGCTTTAGGGGAAATAATTAGAGTTTCAAATAAGGGTTTCAATTTTAATTCAGTTGAACAAATATATAATATGAACCAGACTTTGCCAAGAGCAGATAGCAGAATGGACGATAGATAAGAAGCAGGCATCATCAGACCCTAGAAATTTTCTTCAAACTCTCAGTTCCATCCAAAATTTTCAGCGCCTTCTCCTCCTTCTCATTTTACATGCTTACTCACATGATTCATTTTTGTGCGATTCCCTACAATCCACATGTCCGTATGATAATTTCCAAATCCCGTCAAGTAAGCAATTTAGTTTCGCGGACTTCCCCTAGTGACCGAATCGTAGAATTTTCTTTACCCCAAACTGCATGGAGCAACCCCTCAATTCAAAGTACTGCTGAGTTTAGTTGGTCAGTTTTGTTTTTGTCTCTCCACCCCGCTCCACTTATCAGCTTCATAACTGGCTATTTGAGTAGGCTCAGACATCTGGAAGATTTACCTGGGTACCAAGGAAAATGTCCAGAAAATCCGGATATTTCTTCTGAGTGTTATCCTGTTTCATGCCAGCCTTGAGGGATTTCTTTCTGTCCTGGATTACCTTTTCTGTGTAGAGTAATACCTCCACATTAGCAAAGTGGCAATAAAGGCAAATAAATTATAAAACCAGTCAGGAACCATGAATAGGTAAATCTACTCCTTTTCAGAGACCAGAGTGGGTATATTACCTCTAAATAGATTTAATTTTCACAGAATAGTTTATTTTCCCATCAAATGAACATTTTTTTATCATAATTCCAAAGACAAACATGAGATCAAAACCATAGCTTATATTAGTAGATGAGTGCTATAATTAACATGATTTCAAATTTAGATGTAAGTGATCAATCATTTTTTTCTTCTTCAGTCTAAAGTCTTATCTTTACAGAAGTCATCAAACAAAAAGGAATACAGATCAAATAATGTATAACTGAAGGGTCTGAGATGAAAAAGCAAACAGAAATATGGAGTGCAACTAATATTTAAAACCATAATCCAAGCAAACTTGCTGGATTTAGGGAAAATTTAAATATATATAATAAAGGATCTACCCTATGCCTGAAAAATTTGGAACAGAATGACCAATTTCAATAAATGAATGTCTAGTTAAATACACCTGACAAGGACTGTAGTTGTACTTTGAGCAATGTCTATATAAAAGCCCCATTAAGAACAAGAATATGTCTGTGTTCACAGTGAGGCTATGCCTCTAGACAGATATAATACAATCATCACAGTGTACAGACTCGGGCAACCCAAGCCTGAGAAATATCCACATAGTTACCTGTGTATCGATGTAGCACTTTGCTTAACTCTTGGAAGTGGTGGCCCTCCGGGCTGAATTTAAAAATTATGTCATGGTGGTGCCAGAAGTTGTACAAGCGATAAAACATGATTTTGCTGAGTTCAGACGCTGCTTTCACGTAAGCATCATAGGTGCTAGAAAGCCAAGTTGGGACGATGTGTTAATAATTAACTAGGTGTTGTGAACAATGTGTTGGCTTTCGCTTTCTCGTGACTCACCCATTTATCTGGCAGTTGGTCTCTTGGTTGAATGCACATTGCATGATGATGTCCAGGGCCATCAAGCTGATGTGCTCATAAACCTCCACGGTTGTGTCCTGAGTGCCACAGATCTTCTCCCACTTAGCCTGGCAGAGGAAGTCAAGATCAACATCATTATCATTAGGAAACTGCCCTTATACGCATGCTCCTCCCTGACACTTTCCGTAGGATCCAGGGGATACAGCTCTAACCCTGCAGGAATTACAGGGCAGAGGGTGAATGAGTCCTTTGCTTACTTTGGGCACAAAGCAGGGAAACATGCACCCAGCTGAATGAGGAAGAGCACGGAGCAATCTGTGAATCTGGTAAATGGCCTTTTGAGTATTATCATCACTCTGCTTCCAAACAGACCAGAGTTTCAGAAAATCAACCATCTAGATACAAGCCCCATAGTTATGAGGGATTTCCTCAGGGCCTTCTTCCACCTTCAACCAACTTGAAAGATATCCCACCACTGCTCTCTTTTTCTTTCTCAATTTTTTATTTTAATTAGTCTATATTTGCAGTACACAATAATCACAATTCTCATGGGGTGTTGGTCCATGTACATAATGCATCTCATTTTGTTTTTTATCCCTTGGCCCTCTCTTTTGTCCTCTCTCCATCTCTTGGTATCTTTCCTTTGCGAAAGAACAGTCTCTCTATTTGTTATTGTCTATTTTTTATTTATATTTTTTGGTTTCTCATATATGAAAACCCATGTGATATTTAAGCTTGTGGTCTGATTTATTTCACTAAACATTATGGTCTCAAGGTGCATCCATTTTTCCCTCAAGTCACCCAAGTTTATCTTTCTTTATGGTATAGTAGTACTCTATTGTATGTAAATACCACATTTTCTTTATCCATTCATCTATTGACAGACCCATAGGCTGCTTCCAAGATTTAGCCACTGTGAATTATGTTGCTATAAACATGGGTATTCATGTATCAGATAATGCAATGTCTTTAGCTCTTTTGTGAAGATACCTAGAAGGAGAACATTTGGGTCAAATAGAATTTCTGGTTTTAGTTTTTTGAGGAATCTTTATACTGATCTATATACAATTGCAGTAGTTTATACTGCCACCAACCATGTGAAAGGGTTCCTTTTTCCTGTAGTCTCACCAAAATTTATTATTGCTTGATTTGTTGATGATGACCATTCTTTCCGGAGTAAGGAACTCAGTATTGTTTTATTTGTATTTCTCTAATGCCTAGAGATGTGTAACATTTTTTCATGCATTTATTGGCCATTTGTATGTCTTCTTCTGTGAAGTGTCTATTCATTTCTATTGCCCATTTTTTGATTGGGTCTTTTATTTGAGGGGCCTAAGGTTCTAGAGTTCTTTATATATTTCATTTATTAAGTTTATTGGTAAATTTTAGTTATACAATATGATATCATTCATCATTGGAAATTTGTACCTTTACAATATTAGTTAGATGTGCGTCCTCTGAGGAATAGCTGGCAACATTTTTTTCTTATTCTGTAGGTTGTCTCTTCACTCTCTTGGCTATTGCCTTTGCTGTGCAGAAGCTTTTTAATTTAGTATGATCTCATTTGTTGATTCTTGATGTTATTTTTGCTACAACTGTACTCTGCCACTACACTCAACCACCATAACTACACTTAAAAATAGACTTGGAACATTTTCAAAAAATATTTTAGGTTCAGAAATTTGGGACAGAGTGAAGTTCGGAAGGGGAGTTGCGTTAGTGACTCCTAGACAAATGTACCCTGTGCCCATCCAACTTCCCCATAGAAAGAGACCCACTCACACCACCCAAAATACTTTGCTTGACTTTTCTAAACTGGTATAAAGTTTCTAGGGGTAAATGTATTTGTTACCATAAGCATTCTTTGTTTAAAGGTGCAAATCGTTTGAAGTATTTAAGTTCAGTTCAACCTACTTTCTTGAGCACTAAGCTGGGTCAGACTTGGAGACTTAACAAAAGTCATAGAGAACTTGAAAAGTTTTTACCTAAATGTCAGTTGTTTAGTTAGATATCTTCCTGAATTAGGTACCTTTACAAATTTTATTTTTCAGTAACATATATCCAATTGAACATATTAATGGGTCTCAGTGTGGAATTTCAACAAATATACCCAGCAAACACTGATGAATACAAATGGTGAGTTCAGAAGAGGTAAGAAGAAGGGCAGGCTTCAAAGTGGGAGGCTTTCTGGGCCCATTTAGTGAAGAGGGAGAAAGTATGCGAGGAACCAGGGGACTGAGAAGTTGGGACAGAAATGGCTCCTAGCCATGGAGGTGAACTCAGAAATAACCACTGGCAGGTTTTGAAATTGTGCTGAATGCTAAGCAGCACTAGAATCAGAGAGAATACTCTTTAGCCTATGCCTGGTAATCTCTGGGTCTCTTCTTCAAGAACTCACATTGATATGTTTAGCATAAATCCAACAGGGTTCAGGTTTTTTGTTTTTTTTTAATTGGGGATCGAACTCAGGCCTTGTGCTTGTGAGTCAGGAGCCAGAGCTAAATCACCAGCCTGGATTCAGGTTAAACCCGCTTTTTTGAGCTTGGTTGAGAACCCAGCTAATAAGTTGGTAACAACAATTCTTTGGGAAAGAGTTTATGATGAAACTGTACTAGTAATTTTTTGTCTGATTTTATAAGAAATACAATTTTAAAATTAAAAGTAAGGCAAAGCTTTGGAATTGAACTCATTTCTACATCAGAGACTGCCCACAGGAGTGTTCCGCAGCACCCTCCTGTCCCTTTGGAAGGTGCAGGTGACTTCCTAACGATACTCCACCTCCTATAAGAGGCAATACATGTGCGACTTTAATAGAGACACTTATTCTTTGAGCAGTCCTTTATGCCTACTGGAAAAGTCCCTTCCAACCTCCAAACTTTTGGTCATGCACTTACGCTTCCTAGAATTCTTTATCCATTGTACCTATGCATTTATGCCTATGCTGTATTTCAGGGTAAATTTAAATTTCCTCTGGAATCTGAAACTACTACAGTTGCTCTTGTTTCCTTATCTGTCACTTACAGCACTTACTACTTGAATATCACCACGTGGACTCTGGTCTATTGCCATGGACTCTTAGACTATATCTAAGGCAGGGAACCAGAACTTCTTATTCTTTTAATCACCCAAAGAACATAGCAAAGGCTTACATATCGCTCAACAGGTAACTGCATGTTCTTTCTGGAAATCAACCTTTGCTTTTCACTGTCCACTAAATGTACACCTAATTCACTCCCTGTTGGAAGCATTTTACAGTGCACCAGAGCTCCACTTCCCCACTTTACTTACCAGCATTGTGTTCACCGAATGGGCCATCACCTCGACATGTTTTTTCAGGATATCACAATGTAATCCAGGAGTTAGTAGGCGACGGTGCTGGAACCACTTGGGCCCATCTAGATTCAGGAGTCCCTTTCCTTCAGAGACAAAGACACAGAACCTCATGCCATTTTATTAGAAAAGGGGGGAAGAGACACATAACATAGAGTGACCACAACCCACAGGTGTTCATGAAGTAATGGACCATCAAAGTGGTAATCATAGATTCAGATGGTGTTGAGTTTTAATGCTTGCATCTAGGATGGATGTATTTAACATTGTAGAGAAGAATTTCAAAATCTGAAAGTGCTAAACCCAAAACGAGCAACTACTAATTGTGTGGTAATTAAAGAAGTTACTTAGCCCTCCTGAACTTAGTTTTTTCAACAATGTAGTATAATGTTCCACTGTTGTGCAGACTAAAATGAAAATGCATAATAAGGCATCAAATTGAATCCTTCTCTAGCTCTTGGTAGAAATGTGACAAATCTTCCTCTCCTTTCTACTGCAAGCCAATCCATAAATTATATTGTGAACACTAATTCACCAGGAACTAGACAAGGTTATCATTTTGTACACAGATAGCCCCTCCTTGAGCCCTGGTCTGTGAATGGCATAATACGGAAACATTTCCCAAGGACAATATATCACAGTCTTCCATTTTAAGAGTGGTCCTTAAGGATTTGGCTTCAAAACAATTTTAAAGTTTGATTGACACCAATATGCCAGGCTCATGATGAATGGCCTGGCCCTGGTACAATGCCAGCTGTTATGTTGAAATGCTAAGAATATGTGTTTCATTTAATCCTCACTACACCTACAATGCTTTCACTTCATTTTCAGAGAAGAGGAAACTGAGATGCAGGAAGATTAAATTACTTCCCTACAATCACATTCAACTAGTCTATTGGGGTGGTAAACAGGATTCAAATCGAACTGGCTGTGAATCCAAAGCCTTTCATTTAATCCTTTCCTGCTTCAACATAAAATACCGACTGTATGGCTAAAGACCTAATTTGCTGCTCAGAGAACATTGTCACACTGTACCTCAGAGCACAGTTTTACTAATTTGCATATAGTAATCAAAGGACCACAAAAAGAAAGGAAAAAATTCAACAAGAGAGATGAAAGGATAGAAACAGAACAGGGATGACAAAGCTATAATTACAAGGAAAGAGAAAGGATGGATTCATACATATGTTATCTTTAAAATGAGACTGGGAGAGAAATGAGTGAGGAGGCTTTCCAGAAAGTGCTGCATTGAACTTTGAGCACTTATTTTACCTCCTAATAGGTAACTCTCATTAGAGATCTACCTTATTCTTTAAGTTTTGAGTTCAGATTTGATTTTCTCTTTTCTACTATTTAAAAATGTTTAAAAATTTTGTGTTTTTAAATGATTTCTTTTTTTTTTTGGTAACGGGGATTGAACTCCAGTCCTTGCGCCTGCAAGGTAGGTCACTGAACTGCTGAGATAATTCCCCGGCCCTAAATGATTTCTTATCAGTACATCTTTGCAGTACATAAGTTTACACTTATCTTAGGTAGTAGATATATGTACTCAACATATCTTTATTCTTTTTATTCTCCTTTCCCACCTCTCCCTCTTTCCTGTGCCTCTAGATCCCTTTTCCTTCTGTGGAAGATCTCTCTCCCTGTTTCCTATTGCCTATCTTTCTAAAATTCATTTTTTATTTCCTATTTTTTTGGTTTTTTTTGAGACAGGGTCTTGCTTTGTAGTTTAGGCTGGCCTTGAACTCACTATGTAGCCCAGGCTGGCCTCAAACTTGCAGTGATTCTCTGACTCTGTCTCCTGAGTGCTGGGATTACAGGCTGGGATTATATCATAATTCACTTTTGCTTTGTTTAAAACTTATTTATATTTTAGGATTCTCACATAAGAAATGTTTTGCAATACTTAAGCTTGTGTGTCTGATTTATTTCACTCAATATTATGGTCTCAGAGTGTACCTATTTTCCTATAAATGAATAGTAACACAGCTCATAATAACTAAATCTTGGAAACAACTGGTCTATCCATCAATTGATGATTAGATATAGAAAATATGGTATTTATGTATAATGGAGTACTACTCTGGCATAAAGAAGGATACATTTGAGTCTCCTTTGAAAGCTGTTTTGTGGGAAGGGCAGTAAGTGCACATACATACCAAGACATGGTGTCATGAATTTGTATGGGTACTGGGACTTGGGGTCTGCAGAAACAAGCACAGAAAACAAAAGATAGTATTAGATAGAGCACTCATTCCAGGTTAAAGTCAGGGAAGGGTTTCTTTTTCTTCATTTACCAGCACTCGCCACAAGGGGTGAGCAAAAGGAAGCTCTGGTCACTTCCTGCAGCTCTGATGGTCAGGATGTACCACAAGTCTTGAGACAGCATCAAAGAACAGCATGCTCCAGGAGGGAGAAATCTACCAACACCCCAGATTTTCCTCTACAGAGAAAGGGTTGCCTGTGGGTTACCACGTTTCTAGGCCAGGAGTTGGGACAACATATATCCCTTTTGGAATGTAACCTGACTGTTAAAGCACAGCTGGCAGACACCAAAAAGTGATGTATAAATGCCCCCTGGCTCTTGTGGCCCTAACATGGAAGCGTAGTATAGCTCTTGTATCTATCTATCTATCTATCTATCTATCTATCTATCTATCTATCTATTTATTTTTGGCTTTTGAGACAGGGTCTCACTATGTAGTTGAGACTGACCTGGAACTCACTATGTAGCCCAGGTTGGTCTCGAACTCACAGTGATCCTCCTGCCTCAGCCTCCCAAGTGCTGGGATTACAGGCATGCACCACCATGCCTGGTCAGATAGCTCTTGTTTTTAACAGGTGAACCTGTGACAAATCAGAATAGGGGCTGGAAACATGGAGACCTTCCAGGAAAGGCCTGTTTTTAGGATTTATTAAGGATTAGAGATGTGAAGCATAAAAAAAGATAAGAATTTAAGACTTTTTTTAAAAAAACAAAATTGACAGAACAAAAATTGGCTATTTTAGTTTTGTCCTATATGATTGTGGAGGTCTTGCCAAAGGATTTCATGGGGAGGTAGATGACTCATGCCCCCAACAGGAACATAGTTGAGAAACATGCAGAAAGAGAAAGTACAAATTGAGTCATAGTCAAGAGGCTGAACTGGAAAAAGAATACTCCAGCATCCAGGGTAGCATATGGAGCCAATAAAGGTAGAGCTGCTTTTGACTTTCCCTAGAAATTATGTTCAAGAGAAGGTAAAGTGGAAAGTGGCTGGCATTAAATCACAAAACCAAGAGGAAAAATAATTCCCTGGCCAGTCTGATAATGCCAGTTTGGCATCAAAGGGCCCTGCAACAAGAAATTAGAATCCCTTTAACCTGGGGGAGGGGGATCTGTCTGCTCTCTCCCTCCCAAATCTCTTAAAGGCCCAATTTAGCTTCAAATTCTGCCCGTGAGTCATATGAATCTCATTCCTAGGAGAAATATGTCCCCAGGATTTGTCCTGTTTTCTTACCTGTTCTGTTCAGAAACGTCTTTGCATAGTCTGGGTCATAGATAAAGAAGAATGCCTGAAAGGGCCCAATCCAGCAAGGAAAGGCACAAGGGTACTTCTCAACAATCTCCTCAAGCTTCTCCATTTTATCTTCCTGAAGAAGCTGAAATGGCAAAGTAAAGGAAGTTTGAGAATCAGCCAATCTGGACTTGTTTCACAGACAAGTATTTTAGTTCAAGGCCTGAACAAGGTCATGTAGCTGAGGCATCTCATCTCTTTGCTGGAAGTAGGTGAACATACTTTCTTGAGGGTTGATAAGCTTGGAGGTTAATATCCTAAACAAGGTTAGTATATTTACTTATTCAATATAAAAATATGCTGTAATCCCAGAAAAACCATTGTCAAATGACGTATACTCTGATCTGTTTTCCTAAAGAAGGGTGAAGTAAGCTTAGTCTTACTCTCTGCCTCAATGGTAAGCATCACACACCTAGAAAATGGCTGGGGTTTATTCACAAACAATAAACAAGATCCAGAGAAATACAGAAAAATCAAGATCTTTGTCTTCATGGAAATTATAACCTAATAGGAGAATTTTAAAATTTAGATTAAAAGTTGTCATAGACACTTCCTGCCACATGAATGCATTTAGTTACACTTTTAGTTACTTCTGTGCAGATAAAAGTCAGAAAACTAGTGTGAATCTTGTAATATATTTAATTTATATTTCTTCATCCCCATTGCAGAATCCAGATACATTTGAAAACAGGCATTATGCATAATTACAATTGTAATTGTAAAAAGCAGGAGGCATTACAATCCCAGATTTCAAATTACATTACAAAGCTACAGGGATAAAAACAGCATGGTTTCAGCATAAAACCAGACATGTGGATCAATGGAACAACAGAGAAACAACTCCAGGTGCGTTCAGTTATTTGATTTTTGACAAAGGGGCCAAAAACATACACTGGAGGAAAGATAGCCTCTTTAATAAATGCTTCTGGGAAAACTGGCTATCCACATGCAGAAGACGGAATCTAGACCCATATGGCTCATAAGGTAGTAACCTAGAATAAAAATGGATCAAGAAATATTAAATCAGAAACAGTTAACCTGCTGGAAGATTAAAATAGGTTAACACTCTTGAAGTCATAGGTGTGGGCTAAGACTTTCTGAATGGAACACCAACTGTAAAAGAAATGACATCAAGAATCAAGAAATGGGATCACACCAAATTAAAATATTTCTGCACAGCAAAGGAAACAATCATCAGACAACCTACAGAACAGGGAATTTTTTTTTTGCCAGCTACACCTTGGATAGAAGACTAATATCTAGAATATATAAAGAAGTACAAAAAAATTAGACCCTCCAAATAAAAGACCCAATAAAAAAATGGGCACTGAAATTAATAGACCTTTTTCAGGAGAAGAAATAGAAATGGCCAGTAAATACATTAAAAAGTTCAATATCTCTGGACATTAGAGAAATGCAAATTAAAATAATACCCAATTTCATCTTACTCCAGAAAGAATTGGCTATATTCAAGAACTCAAATAACAACAAATTCTGGAGAGGCTGCAGTGAAAAAAGAACTCTTCTACATGGGTGGGAATGTAAACTAGTAGCCATTATGGAAATTATTATGGAGACCTAAAAAAAAAAAAAAAAAAAAAAAAAAAGAAATTTCCCTCAACAAAGCTATTCCACTTCTAGGCATCTTCCTTAATGAACTAAAGACATCATATTACTGTGATGCAAGCATGCTCATGTTTACAGCAGCATAATTCATAATAGCTAAATTTTAGAAGCAGCCCATAAGTCTGTCAACAGATAAGTGGATAAAGAAAATGTGGTATTGATGCAGAATGGAGTACTACCATACTTACTATAAAGAAGGATAAACTTGAGTCATTTATAGGAAAATGGATGCGCCTTGAGACTACAATGTTAAATGAGACACAGGAGACACATAAGCTTCACGTTGTTTCTCTTGTGTCAGAAACCCAAAGGGTAAATAAAGACCAAAATGGAGGAGAGATATTCAGAAGTAGGAGGAAAATGTTCACATGGGAAGGGGAGTAAGGGGGGTGGGAGGGAACAGGGGTATTAAAAACAAGAATAAAAGGAAAACAATACAAAAAAGTTTTGTAAATGGAGAGTGGAAGAAGGATCAAAAAAAAAGGAAGGGGATAGGAAAAAAAGAATTAATATATATTACATACAGGTACAAATGCCTTAAGAGGAATATGATCATTATCTAAGTAAAAAATATATCAATAAGATTAAGTAAAAAATGTTACATGGTTTCTCTTATAAAAGAAAGCCCAAAATACACATAAATTAAAAAGCAAGGTAAAAGACAGATAAAACAAAACATGGCAAATAGATCTTTTGCAAGTGAGAAGGGGACCAAGAGATAGATCAATAATTACATTACATATAAGTGGGTTAATGATTTTTTTAAAAAAGACAAGAGTTGTCAGACTGTTCCAAAGTGAATCAACCAAATAGAAATCTTCAAAACTATATACTATTGGCAGAATGCATGTTTTTTTAAAGATTCAAGTTTAAAAATAAAGAATGGAGAAATATGTGTTTTAAATACTACTAAAACATAGCTGGATATAAAGAGGAACATTTTATAAATAAAAAAGTATGAGTCTTCCAGGAAGATTTAATAATTTGAGAAGCACTGCTATATCACATTATTCTCAATAGCTGGTGGCACAGATCTGTTGGGCAATTTTTACATTTTTCCAACTTCTGATTAACTGCCTATTCTCAGTTCCAGTTTCTAGAAAGTGTAGGGATGAAAATCAAACTCTAATGGGAAACAGAGTAAATGAAAGTTGAAGAATGAGAAATCTAGGGCCAGGGATTTGGCTCAGTTGTTCTGCCACCTGCCTTGCAAGTGCAAGGGCCTTAATTCGATCCCTGGCACCAAAAAAAAAAAGGTAAATTAAATTGAATGGAAAAAATTAAATACAGAGAAGTAACTTAAAGGAGAGGTATCTGAAAGGAAGGACTGGTTCAACACTGATCTCCCTTTCTCCATGCAACTTTGCGTTCCACAAATGAGAGAGGCCTAATTTTCTAGAGGAACTGAATGAGACAGGCTTTGAAATGTGAAGAAACCAGACATTATGCAGAGTAGGAAAGAACCATTGTAAATTACTGTGAGTGACTTTTCTTAAGTCACTGTCTTAGTTACTTTTCTTGTCGCTAAGACAAAAATATCCAACACCCAAAGTTAAAAAGGGGAAAAGTTTATTTAGCTCACAGTTTGTAGAGGCTTCAGTCCATAAATGGCTCCAAGGCAGGGTGGCTGTGACAGAGGGGCAACAATTCATGGTGGACCAAAGATTGCAAAGCAACAAGGGAAAACAAGCCTCTTTCTGTCTCTCATGTTGTATCCAGGCTACCAGGATTAGGGCGGTGACAAGCTAATCAGTGTACTGATTTAGTAATTATACATCCTTAATCCCAGGATCACACACCCTAGATCCAGCCACCTCTGAAAAAGCCCATCTAAGACTGCATGAGGCTTTGGGAGGACATCTGGACACAAGCCACAACAGCCACTAAGTTTTAGTGTGGTGTTTTTATTCCACATAAGGTAAAGCTCAAAAACAAATAGAGGGCTGGGATTTAGCTTAGTGGTTCCACCACCTGCCTTGCAAGCACAAGGTCCTGAGTTCAATCCCCAGTACCAAAAATTCCCTAAAGAAGCAAACAAATAAACAGAGACTAAGACAGAGCTCTAGGAAATTAAAATTATGATCACCAGACTATCAGTAGAAATTATAAGAAGATAAAATCAAGAAATATAGATTTAAAAATACATAGGCTCAATGCAGGAGTCTAATATGCAACCAAGCAGGGGATGTAGCTTATCAGCATAGCCCCTGACTGGCAAGTGTGAGGCCCTGAGTTCGATCCCTGGTTAAAAAAAAAAAAAAAAAGAAGCTACCCATATGCAACCAAATTAGAAGAGAAAGGAAAGAGAAATTGAGAGGAGGAGGGGAAGAAGAAAGAAATAATATTTGCTATGTGAAACAGGAAGAAAAGGGCTAAAGGTGTAGGGGAAGTGGGAAGGGTAGGGGAAAGGAAATAAGGGAAAAGAAAAAATATGAGAAAAGGAAAAAATGGAAACAAAGTCTTTGTAAGTTGGGGAGGGTGGAGGGGGTAGAGGGAGGACAGGGGTATGGGGAAAAAATGAGAACCAAGATCTGTCATGTAAAAGTACAAAATCCCAATGATGAATATAACTGTACTATATACTTAAAAAGTACCAGTAAACTCAATAAAAACAAAAAATTATATTTGCCATTAGTGGACTGTCCGTAATACTTCATCCTTACCATTTCAGTGTGCCCCATAACCAGCACCCACATTTACTAATGTGAGGGCTTCCCATGGTTACTGAAGTCTGCTTTCTTGGGTGCGTAGTGCTAGTTCATACTGCTGGGGATTTAACAACCTCAAAAGCAGCACAGAGGCTGACAAGAGTTGGTATAAAATTGCCCTTACTTTTCAGAGAGGATAACTCTGAAGATCAGGGTCTTCCAGTGGGAACAATGGTAATAAACTCCAGTTATCCACAGCAGTAACCTGCTAGTGAACAACCTCATGTCAGCTGCCCTCCCATCCTATCTCACCTAGCCAGCTCGCTACCAGGTTTCTTGGCACCATCTCCAAAATAAACTGCTTGATCTGAATCACTGTCTCAGGGTCTTTTTTTTTTCCTGGGAAACTCTTAACTAAGACAAAAATTAAACATAAAAATTTACCAGAAGTAGAGAACCTGAGTTTCTAGATGGAAAAGATCGCCCATTGAATGTCATGCACAAATACTGAAAAAAGTGCCACAGCTGGGCTATTCATAATTTAATTTTGGAATACCAGAGATAAAGTGAAGACCTTAAAGTTGCCAGAGAAGAGCAAAAAGGCTATATCATAAAGACCAAGAACACAGAGACAGGATGATAAAAAGGATTAAGGATTAAGGGTTAAAATCACATAGTACAAAAAAAGGACAGGAAACAAAACCAAAAATAAACAAGTAGAACTACATCAAACTAAAAAGTTTTCCCTATTGATTGGGAGAAAAGATTGTGATCCATATATCTGAAAAGGGTTAAATAGCTAAACATCTAA